AACACATAAGGCGTAGGAACAGTGATGCACCATTCGACTTGTCGCAAGATTGATTTCTCCATAGCTAAAACCTCTTCTCTGCTATAAGCCTTGTCCGAGATGCAGACGAAATCGTTAACCTCTGGAGCCCAAATCTCTTCGTACTTGCAAGCTATAAGCATAGCACTAATCCCCAAAAGCTGAAGCTCTCTTCTAGGAACCATTGTTAAAGAGAGAAACCGGTCAATTAGGTTAATGGTGAGGTAAAGCGTCTCAGGCATTAGCTCAAACTTCCTGTGCACGTCAATAAGCCAGTCGATCAAAATCGATCTCATCTTCGCATTGATTTCAGGTTGTGACTCCATGTAGTCTCTCATTCTTCCTTCTTCTTCAACAATCTTGTAAAACTTGAAGATGTCTTCAACGTATTCCACAGCAGCAAGCTCGTTGTTAACATCCAGAGCATCAATGTCAATCACATCATCTTTGACTCCACTTGCAGCCTTGCTCCGAGCTTTTAGAGTCGCTGTGAAAGTCTTTGATCCTCTTTTGCTCACATTCGGTTTGCAAGATTTCTCATTTTCATTAGGGCTAATGACAATAACCTCGGACTTTGACTGTTTCGCCTTCTTCGCAATGTCCTGGACAAATATGATCACATTTTAAGAACATGATCAAAGACAGAAGCATCAGAGAAGTTATGTTTAAATTTTTACCTTTCCGGTTGCAAGATCACGATCATTGACGAGATTGCCAATATCTCCAAGAGCCTTTCTGTTTTGTCTTCCATGTCCCGCAACAATCTTCGGTTTTACTTCGCCTAACAAATCCATCATTAGGTCAGAAACTGATTTATTTGTATGTATAATATATAACCTAAAGTAACTTGAGTACTAATACATCAGATCAAATCAAGAGAATTCAATACAAATTTTGTTTCAAATTGACACAAGAAGATGCAAGAAATTGAGGATTTTTACAAAAATTCAAATCAAACGGTTAACAGATATATTGATCAAGATCCATAATAATTCGCAGTTGCAAGAAATTGAGAAGAAAAACAAAACAATTTGATCAAGACCCAGAAAAAAATTGCGAGTCTAAATGGAGAAATCAGAGACAAAAACCTGCGATTCCTTTCTGATGAGGAAGATCGGAGACTCTAGACGCCATTTTCGAAACTTCTTCGTTTTCTGTGATCTGAAGAAACGCTCCTCCGATACTTGTTAACAGAGAGGAGAAGAAATCCCGGAGACGATTACTTCCCGTCCCGGCTTCGACACAATCAGACGACGCCACTATCTCTCTGAATCACTCCACCGATTTCGAAATTTCTTTCTCTCTCTCTCTCTCTCTCTCAAAGAATACTAATTCTCTGGAGCGTAAAAGTTGATTATGATGGAGAATGGAGATTGTTTTATTTTTAAAAGGACGTTTTTTTAGCTCTCTCTCTCTCTCTGTAACGGTCATTTTTTTTTTCCTTCTTGTGAATCAAATTTTGCACCGTAGATTTAACTTTAATTAAGATCTAATGGTTAGAAATTAATGTTCGTTATAGAATGTTATGTTTTACTAGCCGTTGGAGACAAGGGGAGCGCCAAGGTGTGGAGCGGACGTTAATTGAATAAAAATAACAAATTTGTATTTTTTTTCCAATTTTTATAGTTAGATAACTTAGGAATGTGGTCAACAACAAAAAAAAAAATCTACTGATTTTGAAAACTGATGAGATAACAATTGATGCAATTTTAAAGAAATACATGTATTTCAATTTGGCATGACAAAAACAATACATATTGCAAACATAGACAAAATTTTGTAATAAATAACATGAGATATCCGATGAAATGATAAAAAGAAATGTTATTGTGTATGAAGAAAAAACAATTTATGTTATACAATTTTTTCAAAAAGGAACTTAAGAGCATCCGTAGTTCATCCATCTACACGCAATAGATTTTGGTTGTCTTTGAGTAACGATATATTTTTCTTGCCCATACTGAAGCTCGATGCACATTTTCTTGCAAGCCTTTTTGCATACATCTTGAGATGCGTTTTTGCTCTCTTTCAAGCATTGGTTCAGACAGCGTTTGCCACAAATATCTGCCGCGTTTGCATGAGATACTTGTACCATAAATAATACCAACATTACCATCATAAGAATACTGCATGTTTTGGTCAAAACTTGTCCTGCCATAATTTCGAAATTTGCTAACGAATTGAAAATCTTTTTTTTTCTTGTGAATTTGTAAGAAGAATAGGTTGATGGAAACATTATGTCCGTCTTGGTGGTTTATATAGTAAAATAATCTATCTATATCAAGAGATTTGCTTAAATGTTCAAAGATTAATTAGTTCCGTTGATTGGATATTTTTCTTTTTTGGGTAAAGCATTTGACATTTTCTCCTGTTTTAGACAATTCTCACTGTGAAAAAAGTTATTAATTTTTATTTTACCAACTGTAGCTAGACACCTTTTTATAATAGTTAGAAATTCCATTAAGCATAACCGTTTTTTTGTTAAACAATAAATTAACTGGAAAACATATTAATTAGAAAATACATGAGGGAGAGAGATATTTTTTTTTTGTAACAGCAGGGAGAGAGATATTATGAGTGGATTTTGAAAACACGTCAAACCTAAGCTGAATGGAATTAGAAGTGGATACGCGGAAGCGGAAGCGTTTGGAAGCGCAGAAGCGATATTTTTAAAAAAATTAGGAAGCGGGTACGTGTTGGAAGCGTCTATATATATATATATATATATAGCATAAATCAAATATATCAATTAATAATAATTCAAATCAAAAACCAATTTTAGTTTCTTATTTCGTTATTCTCTAATTCCATGTAAAATAATCTTATAATATCTATGTTATTAAAGAAAGATCACTAAATTGAAATCGCATTTTTCTAATCAAAAGAATTATTCTCATTTTATTTGTAATAATTTTTCCAAACAATTTTTTTATAGATAATAGATTAAAATTAGTCTTTAATTTGTGAATGCCAAATTAAATACATGGTATATTAATTTTTCATTTTTATAAAACTTATAAAATCATAAACATATAAAAGTATTCATAATTATTTAAGATATCATATTTTTAAACGGAAGCGTAAGCTTCCAAAACGGAATTGCAAGCTTCCAAAAATTTTTAAAGGGTTTTTTAGGAAGCATCATGGAAGCGAGCTTCCGAAAACTTCCAAGAGCTTCGATTCCGATTCCGATTCCGATTCCGAAATGGGAAGCGGTCATCGGATGAAGCTTCCGTACTACACTAATGAATAATGAGAAAGTTGAAAAGACAAAAAAGAGTTGAATAATCAGTTTTGTAATGTAGCCAACACGTGTTGTACAATGGACGTAGACATAAAACGCAAGTTCAACAGTATAAAGACAGATTGATTTAGTTAACTAGAAAATTCCATAACTAGTGAAACCAAACCACACAATTCAAAGAAGTGATATGATGGAGCACCGAAAGATAAGAGGAAACGGCATAGACATCCACGTAGCAATCCAAGGCCCTTCCGATGGTCCCATAGTCCTCCTCCTCCATGGCTTCCCTACGCTCTGGTACTCATGGCGTCACCAGATCCCCGGCCTCGCCGCTCTAGGCTACCGCGCCGTCGCTCCTGACTTACGCGGTTACGGTGACTCCGACGCTCCACAGGAGATCTCTTCCTACACTTGCTTCAACATCGTAGGCGACTTAATCGCCGTCATATCGGCTTTGACTGAGGAGAAAGTGTTTGTGGTCGGACATGATTGGGGAGCTCTTATCGCTTGGTATCTTTGTCTCTTCCGACCGGATAAAGTCAAAGCTCTGGTCAACCTCTCTGTTCCGTTCTCTTTCCGTCCTACAGATCCTTCCGTTAAACCTCTCGACGGCTTGCGTAAGTTCTACGGCGACGATTTCTATATGTACAGGTTTCAGGTTCGTTTCTTTCCTCTTTATAACTTGAAAAATTTCTTGAAGGTATATATCGTTTATTAGGGTTTGGTTGTGGTATGTTTAATGTTTAGGAAGTTGGAGAAATAGAAGCTGAGTTTTCAGAGGTTGGGGTAGAGAGAGTCATGAGGACTATACTCACATATAGAACTCATTGCCCACTTATAATGCCTAGAGATAAAAGCTTTTGGGGACCGAAAGACGAATCTATTCCTTTGCCGTCTTGGCTAACGGAGGATGATGTTGCTTACTATGTGAGCAAGTTTCAAGAGAAAGGCTTCACTGGTGCAGTCAATTTCTACCGTAACTTTGACCGGTAAGTAAGTAATTATATAGTATGTGACAAAGTTTGAAGAACATTATAAAAATACAACTATTACATTATAACACAAACCACTTATTACATGTCTTGGTCTGAAAAATGTATTGTTCTTGAAAAAATGTGATTTGCTTAAATTAACGACAAAGGATAAATCGACGCATTTTACTCTAATGGCAGGAACAATGAGCTTTTGGGTCCATGGGTGGGATGCAAAATCCAGGTACCTACAAAGTTTGTGATTGGAGACCAGGATCTGGTCTACTTTATGCCTGGTGTTAAGGAATACATACACGGTCCAAAGTTTAAGGAAGACGTGCCTTTGCTAGAAGAGCCTGTAGTGGTCGTGGAGGGAGCGGCTCACTTCATTAACCAAGAGAAGCCACAAGAGATCCTCCAACTTATCGTCGACTTCATCTCCAAATTCTAGTCTTGGTTTCAATAAGCCACCTTGTAAGTTCAATGCATGAAGCATACTTGAGTTATGAGGATTATGGCTATATCCTATATGTATAATAAAGTTGGATGCGTGCCTATCATGTGATATTATTATAAGTTCTGAGGTAATCAGACGTATTAAGTGAAGACAAAAATTTCCATCATAATTGAAATCTCTTTTTGTAATTTTACCACGGTATGGGTTGGTTAACGGCTTGATGGTTTCATTGTTAATTGTTTTTTTTATTTCTTGTTCACAATTTTGATTGAAATTTTGGCTGTTACGCAAATTCAGAAACTAAGATAGATTCATGCTCAAATGAGGCATAAAGTGACAACTCCAAAAGTAGTAGAAACATACTATATATAGCTCATACACATGGGTTGGTGAGTCTGATTACGTTATATGAGTATTGGACTTGTGCTCTGATACTAGTTGGGTGAAAACTCTAATTCGTAGTGTTATGTCAAATCATATAAACAGCAACGTGGTTTAATATTAAACTTTGATTTTAAACCTGTAAACACAATACTCAAACAACAAACAACAAAAAAAGACCCACTAAAATATCTCGAATGTAATAAATAAAGGAAAAAAAAAAATAGATGGGAGGAGATACCATCTTTAAAGAAGTTGGTCCAAAATGCAGATGGTCCAAGTCTTTTGCTTTACCGTCACCCAACAAAGACGTCACACACTAATCTCATTTTCTTTACCTCCTTTCGAGGAGGAGACAATGAACCAACACACAAAGACTTTAAAAGCTGCTTTCAACTTTGCTAAGGCGTGACCGAACGTGGCGGTGTCCTTGATTCCCCTGGAGGAGTCTGACCTTCTGATCCTTTCGACGGGTCATCAGACGATTGTCTTAACCCGTCATCGGTCGTCTCACTTCTGTTCACATCTTCAATCATTCTCAACACTTCTTGCATCACCGGTCTTTGATCAGGAACCGTCGACACACACGCCATTGCGATCTGAAGAAGCTGAACCATTTCCTCCTCTATGTTGTGATACCGCATCAGCTCAACGTCGAACACTTCAGCAGTCCATTCTTCCCTAACCACAGAAAGCACCCACCGCGGCAGATCGATGCCTTCTTCTCCAAGCGACGCCTGGTTTGGCGATTTACCTGTCAACAGCTCAAGAAGTAACACCCCAAAACTGTACACATCCGACTTGAACGTTACTTTCCGTGTCTCGAGAACTTCAGGAGCGTGATAGCCAGCTAAACGGTTAGGTGGACTCGAGTTACTGAACAGTTGGTTAAGTCCATAGTCAGAGACGCAGGTGTCTTGGTTTGGATGGAGAAGTATGTTCGAGGCTTTGATGTTTCCGTGTACCAATTTGGCTGACACGTGAAGATGCGCTAAGCCTCTCGCTGCGGTTATCGCTATTCTCATTCGGTTGTCCCAATCTAACGGTGTTCGTCCTGATCCACGGCTCCCTGAAACAGCAC